AGATCATTTTAACATAATATCAGAAAAAGCAAATTGAACAAACCATAAATGAAATCCCAAATTAAAAAAACAAACGAACAACTCTAGGGCCAGACGGATTTATAAGTGAATTCTTTCAAACATTCAAAAAACAATTAATTTCAATAGTACATAAACTGCTTGAAAGACTAGAAAAAAGAAGTAATCCAAATATCTTCTATGACATAAATATGGTGTCAATCTGGGAGAGACAAAGCAGAGAAAAAAAAACAACTATAGACCATTATCCCTAATAAATATTGACATGAAACCACAGAATAAGATATTAGTAAAGAGGCCATAGCAATACACAGTGTGACTAGGTTGAATTCTTAGCAAAAATGTAGGGTTGAGACAATATTAGGAAGACTACAAATATAATAGACCATATTAATAACAAAAACAATAAAAATCATATGGTTATATCAGTAAATGCAGAAAGATTTTGACAAAATACAATACCCATTTCTGTTCTTAAAATATTAAAAACCATAGGAAGAATTATACTTTTCCTTAATATGACAAATCATAGCTATCTAACACCAACAGCTAATATTATTTGTATTAGAGAGACAAAAGAAGTCTTTTCCAATAAGAACAAGAGTAAAGCAAGGATGTTCATTATCACCACTAATATTTGTTATAGTCCTAGATATACTAGCTATAGTAAGAAAACAAGAAAAAATGAAAGAATAAGCATAGACAAAGAAGAAATAAAATCATCACTTTTGCAGGTAATATAGTAGTCTACTTAAAGAACCCTAGAGATTCAACTATAAATTAATTGAAACAATAACTTTGGCCAAGTAGCAGAATATAAAATAAACGCACATATTTCACACACACAATAAGTTCCAAATGGATACATGACCTACATATAAAAGGTCAAATAATAAACAAATTAGAGAAACAAGGAAGGAAATACTGTTCACAACTATAAACATATGGATAAGGAAAGAGTTCTTGACAAAACAAGGGATAAAGATCAAAGGAGATAAAATGTACAATTTTGACATAAAATTTAAAACCTTTTTCACAAACAAAACCAATGCAACTAAAATTAGAAAGAAAATCATTAACTGGGGTCAGGGAATCTATGCAACAATTTTCTGTAATCTGAAATTCAAGATATATTGAGAACTCATTCAAAAATATAATGAGTCATTCTCTAGTAGATAAATGGTCTAAAGATATGAACAGGCAGTTCTCAAAAGAAAAGAAAAAGAAAAACTTATCAACAACCATATGGAAAAAAAAGTATTCTTAATCACTAATAATAAAAGAAATGCAAATTAAAACAATTCTAAAGTTCTATTTCACATCCTTGGTTTGTCAAAGATGACTGGAAAAAAAAAAGAAAATGGCAATTATTGGAAAGGAAATGGGAGGACAGACACATTAATGCAACATTAGTGGAACTGTGAATTCATCTAACCATGTTGGAAAAGCAATTTGGAACTATGCTCAAAACATCACTAGGTTGAGTATACCCTTTATCCCACTGACACCACTAGTAGGTATATACCCTAAAGAGATAAAAGAGGGAAGGACTTATATGTACAAATATATCCATACAGCACTTTTTATTATAGAAACAAAAACTTAGAAACAAAGGGGATGCCCATCCACTGGAGAATGGAAGAACAAATTTTGACATATAAATGCAATGGAATATTATTACGCTGTAAGAAATAATGAAAGGAATGGATTAAGAGAAAATTGGGACAAATTATATAAACTGATGTAACAAAATGAGGAGAACAATTTATACAATGACTATACAATTATAAAGAAAAGCACATTTGAAAGACTTAGGAACTATGATCAATGCAATGGCCAACCATGACTAAAGGAATGATGCTTCCCACCTCTAGACAAAGAAGTGATGGACGAGAGATATAAAATGAGACATACATTTTCAGATTTGACCATTGTGTGTCTTTGTTTTGTCTGACTATGCTAAGGTTTTACAAGGGAGGGTTGGGTTTTTTTGGAGGGTGGGAAATAGGGAGAAGCAGTTTGTGATGCCCCCCTAAAATGAAAAGTATCAATGAAGCATTTAAATAAAATACACCCCAAAAAATAGGAGGCCATGAAGATGGGCAATATCCCTGCACCTCTGTCTACTTCCCATATTCCCATAAGGCCTATGTTCTAAGGTTTAAGGTCTCTCCCTGGAGTTTCTCTCCACCCCCACTCAACTGAATTTGTCTTTAAAAGTGTATTTGTAGCTTTTTATGCTATTTGTTCCATTGGCTAAAATTTCTATTTACAGCATACGGATTGGGCAAGGGCCTTGCTATAGAAGTTGCTGAAATGGAAAAAAGTTGACTCCTTTTTCTGGGTTGGGACCTCCCCTACTCAAAGAAATCAGACATTTGTACATTTCCAGTGCTTAGCACTGTGCCTGACACATAGTAGGTGCTTAATGAGTGCCTGCTGACTTGATTTAAGGTAGGCAATAGCTACAGCCTAACCTCATAGAGAGGTTTGCCCAAAATGCTTTAGGAAGATTGCCAATGTTGTTCTCTGTATCTGTACCCTGAGGAGGCGGAACTTATGTCAAGTGGGGAATAGGGCTGGAACTGGGACAGGACTAGGGGCCATGCTTGTCTGGGGAGGTATAGCTTGCAGAAGAGACCTGCAGGGAGAGGATTCAGGTAACAGAGTGTGTTAAGAGGCTGGAGATGGAGCAAAGGATCCTAGGCAACCTTCCCCCACACAGTGAGAAAACAAGTAGAGCTAATATGCTAACATTTTGTACTACCCAGGTCCCAGTAATAGTTAAAGGGCATGTATAAATATAACAGAGGTGAGGGTTGGAGGAGGGAATAGGACTTCTATTTGGAGACTGGACACCCTTAACTGGGACAGTGCTCCCATGTGATTAAGCCACTGGAATCCCCATTACGTCACCCTGCAAGAACAATGTATAAGGGCAGGACAAGGCGAAACAGAAAGTGGGCAAGACTGCTTCCATGGAGCAGGCTCAGCACATTTCCAATATTGCAGGACAGGAGGCAGACCTTCCAAGGTCTCTTCTTCAAAACTGAAAGTCTCCCCACAAGTCACAGGGACACTCAGTATCCATAGTTGGTTCTTTCCTGCTAGAGTTTAAGAGAGAATAGGGGTATCTATGCCTAGAAAAGTCAAGATGCTAAAGAGGGATCCCACTCATCAGGAGGTGTGGGGATGCTGTGGAGGAAAGAAAACACTTTAATTATTAACCTGGTTAACTTCAAGGGAGAGCAATCTAAACTGCTGAGTCTCCCCTGATTCTATTGATTTTCTCTGAAAGTTATAAATGACTCAGGAGCTGGTGGCTGCCCCGATATAGGAGAGAGAGGCTGGAAGTTAGAGCATTCAGGAGAAGAAACAGCGGGAAAGTGACAGAAATAAGGAAAATGGAGGGGAAGAAGTAGGAGAGATAGTAGTAGGGTCAGAGAGACAGGGAAGATGATAGAAAGGGGGTATTGTGGGAGATATGAGGAAGAGGAAGTAGGGGAGAGGGACCAGGAATAGAGGACAGAGGAGATGACGGACATGTAAGACATGAGAGGAACAGATCTGTCTTTTCTCAGCTAGACTGTAATTTTCTCCAGAAGCAGTAACTTTTCGTGTGCGAGCTCACCCAAACACCCAGCATAGCATCCTGCTCAGACTAGGTTCTCAGCAAACACTTAACAGTCTCCAGAAGGAAGAGAGGTCACCAGGCAAAGAAAAAAGATGGAGAAGAACTGGGGACAGGAGAGATGGGAGAAAGTGGTGGGGATGGAACAGAGGAATGAAGGCTTAGTGGGGACAAGATAGCCGTCTTCAAGCATTTGAAAGACTGTCACATGGAAGGGGGATTAAATTTGTTCTGCTTGGTCCCAAGGAGTCCAACAAATCCCAACAGATGGGATTTATGAGATGGCAAAATTAGGGTTCATCAAAATGAAAATTCCCTAACAATCAGACCTACCCAAAAGAACGGACTATGTCTCAAGGGAGTAGTTTTCCCTTCCCTAGAGGTCTTTGAAGTCAGAAGTTGGAGAACCTTTTGTAAGCTATATTGTAAAGCTTTTTTCTTGAGATAGGGGTTTAGACTAGATAACCTTTTTCCTACTCAGATTCTCTGATTCTGTGATTAGAGTTCAAGTTTGCAAGGGGCTTTATGTTCTGGGAAGCCCCTGGGAAAGGCATCTGCCCCTTTACCCAGCTAGGAGCTGTGCAAAGGGAGTGAGGAGCCCAGAATGACAGATTTTCATGAGGCTAGCTACTGTGTGATTCTCTGGCAACTGAAGTAGAGGGGTCAGGGTCACTGTTGGGTTTGAAGCTGATGAGTATCACCCCAGGAAATCACATACCAACCCAGGCACATATGCACACACACGTCGATTCATGCAGATCAGCTTCAGTCCCCACCTCAACAGCTTTGCCAGCTCAGTGAAGTCCCTAAAATAGCTATACTCTATGGGGGGGGGGGGGGGGGGGGGGGGGCTGGGTGAGATGACCAGGCTGCCTGCTGAGTGTGCTTCTTCCTGGGACAACCAGAAAAAAAAAGAGGAAAAATAAAATTCAGTGGATAAAGACAGAATCAGAGGCAGAATTAGATACCATGAGGTCAAATGAAGTAGTAGTGTGAGTGGGTTGGATCAAATGATCTCTTAGGTCCCTTTACAATTCTTACATTCTGTGCTTTGAAAGAGATATAGGCACAAGAAGAGGAGAAAGGGAGTAAATACAAGAGGGCTCCTGAGACACCTACTGCTGTTTACCCTTTACTTTACTGATGACCGTTCTGAGAGGGTCCTAAGTCTCTCGAGGTTCTTGCTGGGCATGACCTGACATCTTCATTGCCATCCATTAAAAAAGAAGAGGATGTGACTGGGAGGTAGGGGAAGATATTGCTGGGGCACCGTGAGTTTCTTGTCCTCTAATAACCTCTCTCTCTCTCTCTCTCTCTCTCTCTCTCTCTCTCTCTCTCTCTTCTTCTACAGCTCAACATCCTAGTGGACACAGGCAGCAGTAACTTCGCAGTAGGAGCTGCCCCTCACCCTTTCTTACATCGATACTACCGGAGACAGCTGTGAGTACGGGGGGGGGCGGGGGGGGGGAATGGAGGAGGGACATCCCACTCCACCTCCAGTCCCATCCTAGAAATCCATCTCTCTCGGTGATGGGGGAACCAACATCCCTTAATTCTCTAATGAAGAGAGGCGGGCAGGGACTAGTGACAGAGGGTGAGGAGCAAGACTCAGAGAGCATATTCTAAGGAGACAGAGGCTGAGGATGAGAGATTAGCAGGGCAAGCAAAGCCACAGAGGTACTCATTCACTGAGAAGTGAGCAGTCATAGCTGGTTGCTTTCGCACAAAGTCACCCTGTTGTCCACAAGGAAGTAATAAGGGTCATCGTTGTGTGTGTGTGTGTACATGTGTGCGTGAGGGTGTGTGTGTGTGTGTGTGTGCGCGCGCGTGCGAGGGTGTGCCTTATCCCTCAGTCCACTGGTAGCTCTCAGTTGCCACAGCCGCACTAGCCACCAGCAGACGGGCTAAAATGACTCCCATGATGTCTCCTTCCCATGGGGTCAGGGGAACCCTAACACCTGCACTGCTTGTTTCAAATAAGTAAGAAAAAGTACCTTTCATGAGCCCCTAACCCAGGTGAAAGTCAGGAAATTCAGAGTAGAGATGCCCATTAACTTCCCCATGAGAAATCGCCCTCCCTTTGCAGACACAGAGAGAGCTCACCTAGATGGGGGGTCGGCAGTTTTGCAGGACAAAGGGCCAAAATAGGGCTCAGAGGAAGAGATAATGAACTGAGCTGAGAAGCCTACTTAGAATGGGAAGGAAGAAAAACTATGGTTGGAAGAAATCACTGACACAGGTGTGGAAAGAGAATCATGGGGTTCACTAGTGAATGTATGGATTAGAAAAGGGCTGATACATGCAGTTAAGAGGCAGAATGAGAGGAAGAGGAGAAGAGACAAGAATGCTTCTGAAACATCTTCTTTCTGGGGCCATACAGGCACTTCAGAGCATATGTGAACCCCACACTCCCCTCCTAAGTCTTTCTCTCTTCCCACCTCCCTAAGCATCTGACAGACAGGGAAGCATGGTCACGGTCAATGAAAAGTAATCATTTCCTTCTCTGACCCTCCTCCCTAGTAGCTCAAGCCCTGGTTGTGCCATTATGTTAAGTGTAAGATCTCACAAGTATTTGAACCCATGGATGTGAGTAAATGGGTGGGAAATATTCAAGTAGGCAAAGTAGTTACACACAGGTAGGGTACTGTATATTAGTAGTGTGTTACATGCACCTGTGTGAAATCTTGGAGCTTGCACAAATCTTAGTCCTCTCTGTAATCTGCTCTGAGGGTTCCCTGCCATTTCTTCCTGGCACACTCTTTGTCACCCGGTTGGCACCACCAGGTCCCAATGCAGCAAGGGAGTCAATGAGTCCTTTTCTCTGGGAGCTCAGCCAAGTTGAGAGAGGAAGAGATGCCCCTGGCTGCCCTTCTGGCACCAGGCACAAAGCACAATGCCCAGACTTGTTTCCCACAGGACCTTGGCCCAAGATGTAGGGAAATGAGCTGATGGGGCATTTGCTGAAGGAGCTCCAGCCCCATTTCCCTTTGTAAAATTGTATGATACCCTTAACCTCTGTGTTGTAAGGACAAAAATGAGTTGTCTAATGGCTTTAGGCCCACTCTATTAACATCTAGATATGAAGACGATTCTAGGAGGAAGAGCCCAGAGTCCCAACTCAGATAGGAACGGGCTTCCCACTAAAAAGGTAATGGGACATTGGCAGGCATGCTTGTTACTATGGTGGACCCCAAGTTAGAGATTCTGTTAACACCTAGTACGTGTTATCAAAAGTGACTTCCAGGGGCAGCTAGGTGTCGCAGTGGATAGAGCACTGGCCCTGAAGTCAGGAGGACCTGAGTTCAAATCTGGCCTCAGACCAAACACTTGACAATTACTAGCTGTGTGACCGTAGGCAAGTCACTTAACCCCAATTGCCTAAAAATAAAATAAAATAAAATAAAATAAATAAAAAATAAATAAATAAAAAATAAAAATAAAAAAGTGATTTCCTCATCCCCAAAACACATACACCTATAACACCTATCCTCTCTTCACAGATCCAGCACCTATCGAGACTTACGGAAGGGTGTATATGTGCCCTATACCCAAGGCAAGTGGGAGGGTGAGCTGGGCACTGACCTAGTAAGCATCCCTCATGGCCCAAATGTCACCGTACGTGCCAACATTGCTGCCATCACTGAGTCTGACAAGTTCTTCATCAATGGCTCTAACTGGGAAGGCATCCTGGGACTGGCCTATGCTGAGATTGCCAGGGTGAGGAAGCTGAGGGCTGGTGCTGAACACTGCCTGGAGAGGAAGGTTTATGGGGATGGAAGGGTAAAGGAACTGCCTGAGGGAGGAATTATAGCAAGTGGGAATGAACGTGAACTGAAGCAGGAACATCTGAGATTAAATATAGGGAAGTTATGAAAGTGAGACACTAAAAAGAGTTTTCTTCAGAGATTTTGAAGAACATATGAGTGGTGGGGTGATAAATGCATTTGGTAATGAAAATGATGTAAAAACAAAAGATACTAAGCTTTTGTTTAAAAAAATGGGTGAGATTTCCACGTATCTGCAAGATGTCAGGCATGCATGAGGGGATTGAAAGGATGACCCTACATCAAAGATCCCATAAGAGCTCTTACCTCATCAACACCTCTCTGTTTGCATAGGCATTGCCCCTCAGCATCAGTCAATCTGCCATCACCTTCTAAAAGTACCTTTCTACCCCAAGGCTAACTATCTCCAAGATGACCCTTTGAAGGGGACTTCCAAAGTTCTCCACCCCACCCCAGGGTAACTGTTTTTGCTCTGGCATGGAAACAGGATTCTTTCCCCTTGTTTCCTTGTCTCAGTGACTCTGCCGCAGGATTCATTCTCTACTTATCTCCTTAACAGCCCGATGACAGCCTGGAGCCCTTCTTTGACTCTCTGGTGAAGCAGACCCAAGTACCCAACCTCTTCTCCCTACAGCTGTGTGGCACGGGCTTCCCAAGCCTCAACCAGTCTGAGGCAATGGCCTCAGTTGGTGGGAGCATGGTAAGTGGGTTCAGGGGTAGACACTAACAGGGCAGATGGGCAGATATCAGCTGGCATCTCCTCCCTCCGGGGCTAGGCCAGAGGCAATTCAGGGGCTGGTGACCCTTTATTTTTCTCAATGTTGGTCAGATCCTTTGCTGGGCAAGTCTTGGGTTCTACCTCCAAAAAGATTCATGAGAAACTTGCAATGGGGTCAGATGAGAGACAAAAAATGATTAAATAATTGAAAAAAACAATCAGAAAAGGCTAAAGGAACTAACATGACTTAGTCCAAAGAAGAGGTAGGTTTTCATACCTTCACCAGGAAAATAGTGAATGGTTCTCCATCCCCACCAAAATGAGGCAATAGACAAACTGCAACAAAAGCAAGTTGGGTAAGATTTAAATAACTTCCTAACAAAAAGAGTTATATGAAAGTGGAATGGGTGACTGGGAAAGATGTAGCATCTCCTCTGTTGAATAAAATTTTTAAAGGAGAAATTCCCAACCTGTCTGGGCTGAATTAAGGGCAGTCATGCCTACAGGAAAAGGGATAAAAATCATGATCTTTAATGGGCTTTGCCATCCAAAGAGACATCTAACCTGTGTTGTTGTTGTTGTTGTTACATCATTACATCCAATAGCTAACATACTCATGCCCCCAGGTTCCTAAAGCCCTGTGTGCCTAGTTCCCTAACATACACACCCAGCAGATTGGGGCATGACACAAGCCTGGCCCTATCTCTCTCCAGATCATTGGGGGCATTGACCACTCCCTATATGTGGGCAGTCTGTGGTATACACCTATCCGACGAGAATGGTACTATGAAGTTGTCATTGTTCGGGTGGAGATCAATGGGCAGGACCTGAAAATGGACTGTAAGGAGGTAAGAGTACCAGGAACACTGGGAGTGAGAAGGCACATCTTGAGTGCTGGGGAGCAGGAGTGGGATGATAGGCCAAGCACAGGCTTCAGGAAGAACTGGGGAAGGGAGCTGTGTCTCAATCAATAACACAGCAGGGACAGCAGGACCTCCATCTGTAAGGGCAGAGGCTGGGAAGAGTATTCACAGAAAAACCACATTTGTGGTATAGTGGAAAGAACATTTGCACTAGGAAGGAAGAAACCCACGTTCTAGTCCCAACTCTGCCACTAATTCAGCTATGTATACTTAAGAAAGCCAATTAACTTCTCTGGGTCTCAATATCCTCATCTGTCAAATGGACATAATATAATCCCTACTCAATCTACCCTTCAAGGTTGAAAAAGATAATAGCTACAAAAGCATTTTGAAAAATTAAAAAGCACCATACAAATGTGAGTTAGAATTAGACCATTTTGGCTCTATGGCAATAGAGCCAAATCCTGTTTTGGACCTATGATTATGATGATTTCAGAGCTGTTTGAATGGAATGGAAAAGCATTTATTAAGCTCTTACTATATGCCAAGAACCATACTAAATGCTAGAAATACAAACAGAAAAGCAAGATAGTCTCTGCTCTCAAAAGAGCTCACATTCTAATTGGAAGAGACAACACATATAGGAAAGTTTAGCTATAGGGTGCATGGAAAGGTCTAGTAGTCCTTAGAGCACAGGAGCAAGGCCAATTGTAAGGTCCACAGGTCTTTGGGCTGCACTATTGGGAAGTGGTGATCCTGGTGGTCAGTGAGTAGATGGAGTTCTAGCTGGGGCAACTGAAGGACAAAGGAATGCTGTGCCAGTCCACACCCATGACCTCTTGGACTAACTGGTGACCAGTATAGTTCTTACCAGCACACTGCCTCCACCTGGCACCCAAAGACATTTGGCTGCATGAACATCTTTTCTCCTCTCTAGTACAACTACGACAAGAGTATTGTGGACAGTGGCACCACCAACCTGAGACTGCCCAAGAAAGTGTTTGAAGCTGCAGTCAAGTCCATCAAGACAGCCTCCTCGGTCAGTGAAATTAAGGGACATGTCTACAGGTGTAGGCCTTGGAGGGAGTTCGGGGGAAAGGAGGCACAAAAAAATCAAATTAGAACAATATCTGTACAGAACGCTGCAACGTAAGCGCTGCGGCTCTCGGGACCAGCACCTGAGCTCTCTCTGGACGTTGGTCTTTCCCCATCTTTCTCAGCTATCATCTGCCCTGTCTTTCACTTCAAGTTGTGCCCTTCCCCCACCCATACCAAGAATTATAGGACAGCTGATGGCCTTCAGAGGCCATCTAGTTCTGATCATATATTAAGCTTGAATCTCTTCTACGGTATCCCCAGCAAGTAGCGGCTCAACCTCTATTTGAAGACCGCCAGGCAATCCATTCCGATGCAATTCTATATGCCCATAACTTCTATTCATTGGTTCTAACTCTGTCATCCAGAGCCAAGCAAAACAAATGACGAGTCTTCAAATAGCTGAAGGTAGCTCTTGTTCCATCATCCCACCCTGTCTCCTCTTTACTTCTTTCAACTGATTCTAGGACATTTCTAGGAAATTCATCACCTAGTTACTCTCCACCATATGTAACTCAGTTTCTCCCTTCTCCAGTCCAGTTTTCCATCAGGGCTGAACAAGTGGGGCCTTTGCAGTGCCAAAAAATGAGCAGAAGGTGTAATAGAGGCCACTTTGTTATAACTAGTCCCTCCGACTTCTATTTCTTCTTCGCTGAGACAGACAGAAAAATTCCCAGATGGCTTCTGGCTAGGGGAGCAGCTGGTGTGCTGGCAAGCTGGCACTACCCCCTGGAACATCTTTCCAGTCATCTCACTCTACCTAATGGGTGAAGTCACTAATCAGTCCTTCCGAATCACCATTCTGCCACAGGTACGTCTCTTCCTCAACCAAACGGGACTCAAGAAAAGGAAGGTAAAGAATGTGGGTTGGGAGGGATAGAAGGCAGACACTGGGCATGGTTGAATGGGGACAAAACAAATATGGAAAAGAACCACTGCATTAACCTCTCTGGAAAAATGGGTCTCAAAACAGGCAGGATATTTAATCTTTGAGTCTGTTCTCTCATTCCAAATGCCCTTTCTCACAGGAATGCTATAAGAATGAAATGAGATAAAAGCAAAACACATTTCAAAATGAATTATTATTATTATTATTGGGATGATCTGTAAGTACACCTCAGGACCAGAGAAAAGGTAGGGTGAAAGTTTGAGTGAGATGTCCCTCACCCTATGATCATCTACCCCCAGCAATACCTAAGGCCAGTGGAGGACGTTGCCACGTCTCAAGATGACTGCTACAAGTTTGCCATTTCACAGTCATCCACAGGCACTGTCATGGGAGCTGTGATCATGGAAGGCTTCTACGTTGTCTTTGACCGAGCCCACAAACGAATTGGCTTTGCTGTCAGTGCCTGCCACGGTGAGAGCATAGGCTTTGGGAAGCCAGAGGGTCTGTATTTATTCTGGTTGGATAGTTAGGCTATCTGGGCCTGTACCAACTTGGTGAGGAGTTGCCTATCCCTCAAAGTAAACACACTGAGCAAGAGTTGTCAATACCTATCTAGCTTCTTGACCCTACAACTCAAGCATAGTGACCCCTGCTGAAAGCCCAAGAGACCAGAGGCCACCCAGAAACAATTCCAGTGTCCTAGAAAGATGAACACACACAGTAGATGGACAATGTACTACTTGGTGATACTTAGTTTACAAAGATGAATGTGAGCACCATCACTTAGGAAAGGTAGGCCAGGCAACAAGACTGTGCAGCTAGCCCTGGGAGGTGTGGGTGTGTGGCTAGCATTATGTGACCCTAAAAGAAACGAAGACTCTTGAGGCTTGCAGAACACTCCTTCTGTCTGGCTTATTGTAAACATGCTCCTCCTCACCTAGGACAGGTTATCTTTTAAAAATCTCCCAAAAAAAGGGAGCTTTGACAGCCTGCATTTTCTAGGGTCTCCCAGTTTTGGAAAGTTTTTTTGATGTCTAACCCAAACTACCTTCAGGCACAAGACCTGTGCCGGTTCACATGCCACCTTCCTCCACCCTTCCACAGTGCACGATGAGTTCCGGACAGCAGCAGTGGAAGGTCCCTTTGTTATCGCAGACATGGAGGACTGTGGCTACAACATTCCACAGACAGATGAGTCGACCCTCATGACCATAGCCTACGTCATGGCTGCCATCTGTGCTCTCTTCATGCTTCCACTCTGCCTCATGGTGTGCCAGTGGCGCTGCCTCCGCTGCCTGCGCCGTCAGCAGGATGACTTTGCTGATGACATCTCTCTGCTCAAGTGAGGGGCCCTCCAGGCCTCACAGGCCCTCTATGGCTGTCTACTCTGGCCACAGGCAGGAGACATGGAGATAGAACATGTGACCAGAGCACCTCAGGACCCTTACCCACCAGCCTGCCTATCTTGACAGGGAGAGAACCAGAAGATACTGGCCAGGTGCGTCCCACAGGGATAATGTCTTTAGAAGGGGGAAGAGGAAAGAAGGAAGCTCTCCAATGGCAGGAAACCCTTTGGTCACTTCAAACCTCAGCTAGGAAACTTTCTGCTGCTTGAAACTTCATCCCTAAAAATTTCACCACCTCACCTACTTCTCCTCAACCCAAATACTTCTTTCCCTTATTCCCAGAATTGGTACCATACCCAGCCTTTGCCCTGCTGGTGTCCTGGGATTAGACGTGGCCTGCTCTGGTTCTCCTCTTCAGCAGGGGCTAATGTACAATAGCCCCTTATTTTTGTGTAGAACCTACATAAAAAACCCTAATTTGACTACAGGGGTGAATTTTTTAAAATCTGTGAATAGACTGGGGTATTTAAGTGATTTTTATTGGGGGTGGGGGGAAGAGAAGACAGGCAATGGTAAGAAGGGCAGATTGAGAGGGAAAGGAGAAGTTAAAGAAAAACAGTAAATGGGGAAGACAGTCCCAGTTTTAGGCCTTGCCATAGACACAGGACACCATCTCATATATCTCAAGCAGGAAGACCCCGATTTGGTAAGGCAATCCAGTTGTCACAAATGAACCAGACTGGCCCCTACATTATGGCCACTGATACTCCCTTTCCTATTCCTCCTAATTGACTTCAAGGTAAACTCAGAAGAAATTTTTGCAAAAGTTGACCAGAGTCCTCAACATTTGCCTTCAGGAAAGAGCAACTAGATTGCAAATCAAATTTCTCCCCTCAAGGTCCACTTGGCAAATTACCTTTTCCACTGCCTGGACTCTCTGTTCTCAGAGCACTGCTAAGACTCCCTAGCCACCTCCCTTTATTTCATGCCCACAGAGAGAATAAATGGAATAAGGCAGAGCTTAGCTGTATTTCTTGAGCTACCTACTCAGAGGATCTCATCTCTTTCCCTTCCTTCCCACCCCTTTACTGAGACACCAAACTCCCAAGGTCCTCTAGGACTCTGCAAGTTATGGAGTTAAGTGAACCGATGGGAGATTTTCCCCTTAGTCTTTGAAAAGAGAATCCAGGACTTTCAACAAGTATGGAGTTGGGACCTTGGACTTTGGCTTCAATCTCCCTAGTGTTCAGCTATAAACAGGGATCAGGCATCTGTTCCCTGACTATCCCAGACCCCCGTCATATTCAGGTGGATGAAGCAACTTCCAGTGCGCTGGCAGAGTACTGATAGCTCCCAAAACTCAGTGCTCTCTGGTCCTGTTGCTATCTAGTACCAAAGCTGCCCAGAGAGAGGATAGCAGCTTCTTTCTCACAACTTCCTCATTTCATTATAGGCTTTCTTCCCTCACTGAGCGCCATTCTTTCCCCTGGCTCCTTGGCTCCCCTGTCCATGTGTTATATTGCCACCTAGAGCTAGGCACAGGGAGAACAAGTTCATCTTCCCACAGCACAGAGGACCTGCTGTACTGTTAGCAGGAGGTGAGAAGGAAACACAAGTAATCTCAACTCCACCTCAGACCCCTCAAAGGAAGCCGCCTTCTCTGCACCACTTTTTTCTAGTCTAGCCCAACCAGTCTAGATGGGGGTTGCCTGGCCTCCTTTTCTGGGGGGGGGGGGGAGAAGGATGAGGGGAGAAGAGGATAAAACCCAAGGTGCAGTTTCTGGAGTTTCCTGTCTCAGCCTGGCTACTCTGTGGACCACAGCCCCAGAGAGCTCCCCACAAGCCATAAGCAAGTAACAATGAGAATAATGAACCACAGATTCTCATTTCTCCACCCACACTTGCGGTCCCTTTGCTTTCACTGCACCTGGTGCTGCTCTGGCTGATGGGGATTACCACCCAGAACTGACGGGAAGATCTCAAAATACTGCTTCCTCCTAGCTTGAGACTTTATTTGGGTGTGTAAATAAACCTTTGGGACTGCTAGGGTATAATGAAAAGGCCAAGTTCTGCTTTATAATACCTACCCAAGGCTAAGGAAAACTGGTTTTTTCCTAGCTTTTTCCAGGGCATAAAACCAACAACTTTGGTTAGTTGGTCTAGCAGCCCTACTATTATTTTTTTAAAGAGAAAAATGGTTGTACTTAATTCTTCTTTTTACAATTCCCTCCTCCAAGTTGCCCTACCAACCTTGAACTTTTAAATGTAAAGAAAATCCCTCTCAGTGTCTGCTTCTTGCTTGTAAGATATGTATGTATATATCTATTTTTTAATTCTACCCTCAAAAGCCACTGTCCCATTTCCAATCCTCCTCATTTGGCCTACTCGGATTTCACATTTGTAGGCCAGTAGGCAAGAGGATAGATGGAACTTGGGTGTTGCTTTACAATGGTTCTTAAGACAAAAGGGAAAGAACTGAGCAACACTGGGGTCCTACTTCCCATACCCAACCTCTCCAGAAGCACTTGTCATCTTGCTATAGGTTAGGTTATCCAAGGGCTTTTGCTAGGGGAGAGGGGTGTTAGCCCCTCTACTCTATCCCACACACTTTATTCTCTCCACTCCTATGGCTCTAAAGGCTTTCTGGAGGTAACTAGAAGTTATTGTTCTTATCCAAGTTAGTTTCCTAGCCTTTTATAAAAACACTGAGATGCATCAAAGGTGGCCCAGAAACTATGAAGCTCAGGGGAGGCAGAAAGGTCATAAACAAAGAGAATCACGAAATGAAGAGAACTAAGAATTGACCTCCAATTCTACATACCAACCACATTTTCTGCCTCAGACAAAGCAGTCAGAGTAAAAGCCAGTTGTTATGAGGGTAGACATCATTCACAAAAGGCAAAAACATTAACCAGAGAAATCTGCAGGAGGTAATAATGGAGGACATGAGCCCTGTGAGCTGCAGCAGCCTCCTCACCTCTGTTCCAGTTCAGCAGCAGACCATTTGAAAAATGACAAAGGTGACTCATCCAGGCCATTTCCTTGACCTGATGGCCAGACACTGAATGTTGGTATGAGAGACAAGGAAAGGGAAAAGAGAGAAAGGACACCTGGGTGAACAGATGGGAAGGGAAGTAAGGAAGACAGCAAACAGTAAAAATGGGAAAAATGCAGATGGATCTGGAGGAAAAGTCTTCTGCCACCCCCATCTAATCAGTAGAGAGTGATTACTACAAGGCTCCAGCAAAATAAAACACAGCCTGCTCATACTGACCCAAAGGTTACTGATAATAATACAACAGGGTTCTTTCATACAGGACTAGATACTTGAGTCAGTGTTTGGTTTTCACCTGGATGAATCCCATTAGGGAAAGATCTCGCTTTAAGTCCTGTTGGAATGGGGACTCAATGGCTTAGGGTAAGATTCAGAGATTTAACGGAGGTATGATTTTTCTCAGGATGGAATTAAAAAAAAACCAGAAGAGACCAAAGGGCAAGGTGTAGTACTGGCCAGCACATGGATGACTAACTGTAAAATGCAACATGGAATCTAAAATCCATGACATAGTTTGGTTTCTGGTGGCCTCCCCTCCTCATCCTACTCTGGTCTCCATTTTCCCCAATTACAGAGAAGATATGCCCCCAGTAGCACTCTTGTTTCAAAGATTATAAAAACTACCCAAGATAATTCTGTAGGTGAATTTGCACAGAGATCTCCTCACCCCAGTGCCTGCTCAGAGCTCACCCAAGGACACCAAACAACTTGGTTGTGAACCGACTGCCTTAACCTTAAGGGGGGGAGGGGGGAGGGCTATAAATCTATAGACTGGGAGACCAGAAGCAAAGGAGAAGGTGAGGACTTTACAAGGTTGGTCTGTCAGAGATAGGGCACAGCATAAGTCAATGGGGGAAAGGCGTAGGAGAAACCTATAGGTTGTCCCAACCTCTGCACAGACACCTGTATCCAGGAAGTAGGGTGGCAAGGGGAATAGGGGAATTTGATTGATATTGTTATCCTCAGACTGTGAATTCAATTCTGCTGATGTAAACTGCAATACTCTGTAAACCTAATGTCTACATAAAAATAATGATTGTTAACACAGTAAATTATTCAATCTAAAGTCAAACTATCTTGCATTACATTTCTTTCTCTATCAAGTCTCATTTTGTCTAGGATGACGCAGAAATGTCTTGAGGTTTCCAGTGAGTTAGGCATCTGGTTAGACAGCCAAGCAAACACCAGGATTCAATCCTATAAGAAGGAATGAGACTGAAGGAAATGGAGCTGCAGGCTGAGCCAAATCAAAGCAAGGTGGTCAGACAGCAAGAGCAGCTTCCTAGGCGGCGTCTGTTATACTGTATTTGAAAATAACTCTGGGCAAGAATACCATCATGTCAATGCTACAGTGCATACTATTTTTCCTATGACTTGTACCATCAAGGGAAACCGCAAGACCAGGGGGAACGGAAAATTCTGCATAATATACATACTTTCATTTATGAATGTTTGCATACAGACTTTCTATACACACATTACCTATATAATAAAAATGTACATGGCATGAGTACACACTGCTGTATAAATATAGAGCTCTAGAATCTTGAACCCTCTCCTTCCTGTTCATATCTGTCTCTCCTCTTCTTCCTTTCCAGCCAGGTCCATCACTTGAGAGTTGGACAAAAGGGACAAGTGTCATTTGTGTTGGTCTGAGCCCAGAATTTGATACACTGGAAAGGAGAAAGAGAAGCCTCAAGGTTAAGAGTCATTTGCTATTGGGGGGGAGGGGAGGGGGAGCAAGAGGAGCAGGCACAGTGCCACTGAGGCTTGAGATGACTAGCAATAAAGAATATGGGACCAAAAGTTCTGACAGTGTGAGTAGAGTCCCTGGGATATGCCCAGAAAGACCGGCTCTGGAGCAAAGAAGTAGGTCTTCATACTGAATTCCTACAGTCTGAGAGTGCTGCTGATGTATACCTAATATAATTTGCTCCATACCATGATCCCTTCACGTGCAGAAAGGGGTTCTCTTCATTTCCAACACTCTTCCCCTCACAGTCTAGGACCGTCACCTCCCCCCTTTGTGGGAAAGAAATACATTTTATCCTGATGTTCCCACAAGCCAAGCAGGTTTAAGTATTCCTGCTTCTGCCTAGTGATGTAGTGAGAATGAGGAACAACTGGATTGCCAGAGGAAATCTTGTTTTAAGTAACTTTCAACCCATCTCATTAATGCAGTTATAAGACTGGGATCGGGTTTTCATTCCACTCCTCCCATCTAAGGCTCCTCAGCAAAACAAACCCAGGCTAAACTTAGGGCAAGGACCCACATTGTTGTACAGTTAGTGGCTATACCAGCCAGCTGGGTAAAAGAAAGTAAAGAAGGGATTAAAAAGGATATAGTATCTACCTCCTTGTGCAACACATGGGCACAGGCCATTGGGTGGAGCTCACTGGGCTGAACAAGCTTCTGGCACATTAGACACAGCTTGCAGGTAGATGGAGCCTACAAGGCAAACAACGCATGCTTTATAGAGGCAATTCTATGTCCTGAGACCATTCTTTCCCTCTGTGCCCATGATCCCACATCCATACCCTCTCACCAAAATAGTTCAGTTGGCCTCTCTTCCCTAAAACCAAACCTTTTCCAATACTACACCCCATACAGACCCCTGCCTGGATCTCCTTTTCATTTTCCCAGTTCCAACTCAGGTCCGAAGGCAAGAATGCTTTATGTTTTTCTCCATCTCCCAACCCACTAAACTTGCCTATATCCTAGCTTTCAAGGAAATAAATTCTTACATGTGAAGGCCTCCCAGGATAAGACACCTGAGCAGAGGGCAGGAACATGGGAGTGTTTATCTGAGCCAAGGGAGCAGGAAACAAGGGAGCTCGGATCCGACCAAGGGGCTGTAGGCAAAAAATAAAAATTAGAAACAGGGAAGTTTTTAGTAAACTAAGCATTTTTGGAAAAGGAGCCACCAACATTTTTCAGACTAGCAAAATAAAACAGCAGATTATGCATCCCCAGGAACAATACCTCTTCCCTCCTACATGCTTTGTACAAACTTTCTGGGACTGAGCTCTCCCCTAAGGAGCCAGCCTTACCTGAGCACTCGCTGCCAAGCGCTCCTGTTCTGCTAATCGTGCGGCCACCAGCTGGATCAGCTCCTCCATCGTTAGTCCCGCCATGGTGGTTCGTGCTGTCTTGATCTGCTGAAGGATGTTGGTCATCTGCGCCCTAAGGAGGGAGAGGATTGCAGGGATGAAGATGTCATTCCCTATCTGTGGGGACTCCGTGGGTCTTCCTCTTGTACCTGTACCCCAACATATCTTTCAGGTTATTAATCCTTTTTAAGAAACTTACTTGTTGCATTGTGGAAACCGAGCCAGCAGCTTCTCCAGGATCTTTTCTAGTTTGTCCACTGGCTGGGGTCGGTGAGATTCAGTGGGAGCCTTAACACCACCCAAGCCTGGTGGAGGTGGGAGGGAGGTAGCAGGGGACACATGTGGACCATGGGGGCCAACAAGAGAAGCCAAGCCAGGACTGTTTCTCCCATGGGTGACAGGTAGAGGTGGGGAGGGCTGGTTGGGCCTTGAGATAGCAGGGTTCAGCATTGGGAAGGATAGGGCACGAGGGTCTGCACTGGGCATGACCATGGGCATGGTAACCTGCCCAATGGAGAAAGGCATCCGAGGAGCCAGGGAAGGATTAGGTGAAAACACCTGAAGCATGAAGTCTGTCTGCAGAGTGGGAGAGAGAACAAAAAAGAATATTTAGGAAATGGCAGCAGAAATCACTGAGTAACTATTAAATTGAACAGAGATGGTCCCAGTAGCTTCACAAATATAACTGTGAGACAGAGACTTAGCCACCATAGAGAGGGAGCTTCCCCACTGACAAGTTACTCACCTCTGAAGGGGGTGGGGGCAGAGTAGGGGTAGGGATCTGTGGAAGACTACTCAACTTTGCCCCATTCCTCACCAGCTGGATATGGTTATTAAATTGGTCCTAGAAAAGAGAGATTAAGAAATTACCTGGCAGCAGAAAACTGAAAGAGGCATGTTAGCCTCATTCTGGATAAGGAAGGTGATGGGAACAGGGTAGAAAAATCCTGAAACAAAAATAGAACAGGTTGTTTCTCAAAGTAGTGAGCTTCCTGTGACTGAAAGTGTCTAAATAGCAGTTAGGTGGCATAGTGGAGAGATTGCTGGACTTGGAGTCAGCAAAGACCTTGGTTCAGACACTTACTAACTGTGACCCTGGAGAAGTCATTTAATCTTGGCTCAGATTCCTCATCTGTAAAATGGGGATGATAATAATATCACTTAACTCTCAGCGCTATTGTGAGGATAAAATATTTGTAAAGAGCTTTGCAAATTTTAAAGTGTTTTTAAATGATGACTACTATGATTATTATCATTCCTATCATAACAAAAGATAAAGGACTATCTGTCAAGAATGATATAGAAAAGATACTATACTAGGTGGCTTTCTGGACTAGACAGGCATCCAGGTCCCTTTCAAATATCAGAACACATAATTCTGTGAAACTTCAACACTACTCTTGTGTATATGTGTGTACATCAATGCAACTGGCCATAAACTGCCCACACTATAGAAACTCTTATCTGTCTGGGTCAGCAGCTTTACATTAGGCTCACCCGGACATTCTCCTTCATCATCCGAACTCCATTCAATCTTGTCTCCCACTCCTGCTTGGAACGGATTGTTTCCAATGTTGGAGGTGTTGACCTTTCCAAAAAGCAACAGGAATTTACAGTTAGAGAAAGAAGCTGACCTCGCTCTTTAAGATAACAAAACAAACATCTGAGTTCTGAGTTCCTTGCCCCACTGTAAATCATGTGTTTTCTAGTTCTACATTCAAAGTAAGAGCTTCCCAACAAAGGAAGAAAGATTTTCTGCCTCACACTATTCTACATGGGTCCTCCAAATGCCTGGGCAGCAGGTGACCATCAGAAGTAAATCATCAGAAACTTAAGCCTACCTATTTGGGAAGCTCAATGCACAACTGCAAATTACAGTATTAAAAGTCTGACAGTATAGAACTAGACTCAGGAGTGCAGGATTTCGTCAAGTAAAGGTATAAACTTGAGTTCCAGGCCCCAGGGAAGTGGCTCACTTGATATAGGTCAGGTGCAGCTCTGCCTCCTTTTCTGCTTCTTCCAGCTTTAATACCAGCAGCTCTTTCCGGCTTTCTAGTGATAAGATCTAAAGAAACCATGAAAAGGCTTATTAACTTGCATCATGGGGCTATCTTTGGACAGACAAGCAGACGCTTATAGATGTCCACACCAACACTGGTTTCCAGAGACATCAGCCCCTCCCTACCTCAGCTTTCCAGGCTCGTTCAGTTTCCTCCATGATGTTCCGATTGATCTCACCATCCTGATTCTTGAGCTTGTCTAGCTCCATCTCCCATAGCTCCCTAAGGACAAAAAAAAAAAGGACAAGATTGATGGGGTACAGGTTTGATGGGGGCAGCGAAGCAAAAATTAGACCCAAAGCTGGTCCAAGATAAAGTTAGAAGGTAAGCCTAAATGATAGAGCCTTACTATAAAGCAAGTGAACTGTTTTAGAGAGATGATGCTTAAAGTACTCTAAGACTGTGACATGGTCCTACATATGAAATTCCAGGAAGAACAAAACACACAGTGCCTTACTGGCTCCACTTGCTAAGGGCTGTATTTAGGAGGCAGAGCCATCAAAAGAAGTCCAACAGTGCCCCAAATTTAAATAAGCTAAAGTTAGGAAGACTCAAATTTATTACGGAGTCTCTCATGGCTCCCAACTTGCTTCACCTGTGGAAACTGACATGTAGGATTACGTGCAGCAGCACACAACGCCACTACTAATCCTATATCCCAAGGCAATCAAAGAGGAAAAAGTCCCATGAGTACAAAAATATTTATAGAAGCTCTTTTTGTGATAGTAAAGAACTGAAAACTAAGGGAGGTGTGTACACTAACACTTACCTGTCAGGCAGCAACTGCTTACCTGCTACCAGATATTGGCTATTTTATTTTTACCACCCCATTTTCCTAGCTATTATGAAGATGGCTATGCACCACTATCCCCATCTATCTTCCATTCCCTTTATCTTCCTCCCTCCTTGTTGCATATAGATGGTGGCACACTTATATAGGACTGAAGGCACTAATGATGAATGGGTCCAAAAAGGGTATCTTCCTGTATCATATTTGACTCAAAGCAGGATTATGGCTGCGAGTAACAAGATTACTCAGACCACAGGAGAAGAAAGTGAGGTGAACATTTAAATTACATTAAATGATTTTTATTTTTTTAAAGGTAAAGATGGGGAAAGGGATAAAAATGATCTTAAGAGAAATAGTCCTACTTTTCCTCAGCCTGTTCTGCGATTAGAGAAACAATTTTATTCTCCTTCTCCTCCTGATTTTCCAGTAACCTGCATGTGTGAGAGAGAGAGAGACCAATTCACTTCCTGAAGTTTCTGCAGCCTTTTCCTCTTTCACACATTCCTGCTTTTGCCCAAATCCCTCATCTCCCATTCTGTCTTTTTCAGGGACTACTCAAAGATTTGCCTGGGAAGTTAGTCATTCTGCTGATAGCTGAGGTTGACTTGAGAGACTTGGCTAGTTAGAGAGCTGGCTGTCCCCTCTGTCCTTTGCCACTCCATAGGTAGTCCTTCCATGGAGGTTTACTCTCTAGAACAGAGTGATCTTTCTCAGCTGAGGATCTACAGTGCAACAGTTCTACTTCCTTCCCCTGCTAGACTCTCTACTACTCAAATACTAGGGGAAAACCAGTAGGTGCCATCAGAATTCTCTCACACATAAAACTTAAGGATAGGTCAGAGAAGCAGTCCCTCTAATCCATGACTTTTTCTGATAATGGCACCATATTTTACAGAAGTATAGACTGGCACGTAGATTTAGGCATTGAAGGGAATTTTGAGGTTATCTAGTACAACATGATATGGCTTCTTTCTATGATGTCCTCAAAAGCACCCCAAACATCTCCTGGGGTTTTTGCATTGTCTTTGTATCCTCTGAGCCTAAGCACAATACCTAGCACATAGCAGGCACTTAATAAATGTTTACTGAATACAAGGGGGGGTTGGTTAGAGAGATCAAGTCCAACCCTTCCATTTTACAAACAAGCAAACTGAAACCCAACGAGTGTAAGTAATTTGTTCAAGACCACACAGGTTTTAAGTAGTAGAGCCAAAATTTGAATCCATGTCTTGTGACTCTATATCTAATACTCTTTTCACTAAGTCTTACTGCCTCTCATCTAGCAAAAATCTATCACCCAAAGTATCATGCTATTACTTCAGTCAGTCAATCAACAAGCATTTATTAAATTTATTGTTTAATGAATTTATTAAACATTTACTGTGTGTCAGAGGCAGCTAGGTGGTACAGTGGTTAGAGTGCGAGGTGAAGAGTCAGGAAAACCTAAGCTGAAATCCAGCCTCAGACATTTGCTAGTTATATGACTCTGGGCAAGTCACAACTGTCTATCTCAATTTCCTCAACTGTAAATGAGGATGAGAATAGCACCTACCTCTCATAGTTGTTAAGAGGCTCAAATGAGATGTTTGTAAAGCATGTAGCAGAGTGCCTAGCACATAGTAGGTGCTTAATTAATGCTTATTCCCTCCCTCTTCCTTTCCCACTATGTTTAGGCTCAGGATATACAATGCCTTCACACTATTATAATTAGAAAAATCCTTTCTGCTTCATACCAATGGGAAAAATCTGCCAACATAAATAAAGGAAGTAGTTTCTTTGAATCATTAGGATTACTAATGGTTCAAATGTTCAGGACCTATACATGTTCCTTAAGTCTGGCTTGCTTGTTCGATATTCTAATAATAGTGCTACAATTTTTTAAAAATCCCTAGAACATCTTTCTTAAAGAAACTTTACAAGATACAAAAATAATCATACTCTGTGACCTAATAATTCCATCATTTGAAATATACTCTGGAAGTATTATCAAAATCAAAATGAAAAACCCAATGTTCAAGTATTTGCGATTGCAAAAAACTAGATGCAGCCTAAACATCCATCAATAGGAGAATGGTTAAATAAACTGTGGAACACTCATGTAAAGGAATACTGAAATGCAATTAAGACTATAAGTATAAGGAATAGAAAGAAATCTAGAAAGACTTTTTAAATAATGTAAACTGAAAAAAAGCAAAACCAGAAGAACAGAGTATACACTAATATGACCATATAAAATGAATACAAATATGAACAAAGAATCCTTATGGGGACTTAGACTCAGAGTATATGTTTTTTATGCATTATAGTAATTTAAACATAAATCGTTACCCAGGGAAGTTTAATTTTTTTTGCAGTCACTCAATACTAAATTATGAAACTTTTTTTAAAAAGGAATTTTACATATATCCTTACCACATTTTTATTAGGTCAAGTAATGGAGAATAGATGTTAATATGATTTGTGTTATTCTCAACAGTGAGTCAGGAGCCAGGACTAGGACCTAGATCTGCTTTCTCAATCGACTTTAATTATCAATACTTTACTTTAGACTCCTCTGCCTTTAATATGCATAGGTTTCTTCTATCTTAAAAAAAAAAAAAACCACCTCACACGACCCTGATGTCCTCCTAAGGTAACTATACTATTTCTCATCTTCCTTCTGTCAAACTTTCCAAATGAATGGCTCATATCTGCTGCCTCCATTTACTTATTACCCATTCACTCCTTAACCTCTGTGTAATATGGCTTCCATCTTATTATTCCACTAAAATTGTACACTTGATGTCACCCACAGTCTTCTTCCTGTCTCTACTGTCCTTGACTTCTCAGCAACCATTTGCCACTCTTAGCCACCATCTTCTTGACACTCACCTTCCTTAGCCAATATGACACTGCTCTACTCTCCTTTTCTCAGTTAACTATTACTTCTCTCTTTTCCATCCCCTAACTTATGCAAGCATTCCCCAAAGCGTATCTCTCCCTCCTCTTTCCCCTCACCCACCCCAAGAGATGGAAGGGACCAGACATCATCTAGCCTAACCCTCACGTTTTACAGATGAGGAAACAAGCACAGAAAGATTACATGACTTAGCAAGAAGAACTGGAATCTGAAGCCAGGTCTTCTGAAAGTCCAATTGTTTTCACTGCACTGCACACTTGGACATTACACTGTCACCTCAAACTTAACATGTCAAAACCCAAACCACATTATCCCACAAACTGATTACCCCTCCTGACTTCTCAATTTCCAACAACAGTATTCCCAATCACTCACATTCAGAATCTTAGGACTCTCATTTTTAGCTCTGTTCTTGTCCTTGCTTCCTGCATCTAATGAGGCACCAAACTCTATTATTTCTTCATAAAGTCTCTCCCCTACTTCTCATTCCTATTGCTACAACCCTAGCTCAGGCTGTTATCACCTCACTTAATTACATTAATCCAATTTATCCTATACACACACACACACACACACACAGCTGCCAGATTAATCTTCCTAAAATACCACTTCCATTACGTTACTCCTTTGCCCAATAATTTCCAATGGCTCCTCATTACTAAAAAGATAAAGTTCACAGACTAAGGTCTTCCAAAACCTGGCCCCAATCTATCCTTCCAGTCTTGTACTCTACTACCTCCCTACATGAATCCTACTCCAACCAACCCAGTCATCGTTTATTGTACCTCAAATATACTGAGCCTATGTTTCTACCCAAACCATTTCTCTGACCAGAAATTCCTTTTCCTCTCCCCTTATCCAAATCCCACCCATCTTTCTTCCCAGGTGTACCTCAAATCTTACCTCTTCCACAAATCACTCTTTGATTTCACTAACCTAAAGAGGTTCTTCCTTCCTCTGAATTCCTTTGGCAGAATTTATCCATACCACTTATTAGAAAAAATTATATGATTCTTTATATTGTTAGTTAACTTTTCACATACGGATTGCTCCCCAATAAGACAATTAATTCCATAAAAGGAAGGACCCTGGTCTTATACTTTCTTGCATTTCCCACTATTTTGTACCTAATAAGCCTTAATTTCTTGATAAGCCTTTAATTTCCATATGTTAACCTGAAAATATACTAGCTAAAGAGAAGAGAAGCAGGTGAGTTCCCAAGGAGGCCTTAACCATCATTCATTTTCTACTCAGGAGAAACCGACTTTTCCAAAATTATTTATACAAAATTACATCCCAGATCATCTGGTAAGGTAGTACTTCCACCTATAAAATACAACAGCATCCCTACCTAAGCACTGAATTTGGTATCAGAAAACCTGATTTCAGATCCCTGATCTACTACTTCCTAATTATGTGGGCAAGTCACTTAACCTGAGTTGCAGTTTCTTCATATAGGATGAAGAAATGAGGACAATAATAACTGTATTACCTACCTGACAAGACTGTGGTTAGGACCAAATAAGAAAATTATGTAAAGTGCTTTATAAACAATCTATTATCACTCTAATATGCATCAAGAACAAAGAATGCAGCATGAAAGCAAAATGAATTTTGATTGGCATTGCAGTATTTTTGCTACTCATCCTGAGTTACAGAGAGGAACATGGATCAATTGATGGGTCATTCAAAATACAAGTTCAGCATCTCACACAGAGAAAACGCTATTCATTGCCTTTCTCAGGGTTTCATTGTCAAAGTCAGGAAGCTTGGAATGTAGCCCTATCCCAAGGACAATGTGGTGGTGGCCTCACCTTTCTGATGCTAGCAATAACCTTGAAGGATCCAACCTAGGAAGCAACTCAAGCCAGAAACTGCCCCCAGAGTAGGCAGCCACAAGATACTCTCTATGCCAACTAGAAAGGTTTTCCAAAGGAAATGCAGATACATGACAAAATTCAGTGTTTCTCCTGTTTGGGAGGATGTATGTATATCCATTTCAGATGTATTTACTTGGTACCTTACTCCAAAAAGTTTAAAGAACTTTACAGGTTTCTTTTTAATATTATCCATCCTCAAAATATCCATTTGAGATAGGAAAGGGACAATGCCATGATTCCTATTTAGGAGGAATGAGCATCAAGAAATTAAGGTGTTTGTTCAGGGCCCCCCAAAAAGTATTTCTTGGATGTAGCTCTTTAGTCACTCAACAAATATCTGGCAGCATTCTAGGAACACACCCTCTAACAAGGTACTACGGAGTACAACAAAGAGTAGGACATGGTCTATAACCTTAAGAAATTTAACTCTCCACGAAGAGACAAAATATAAATACATCAAAGGTTAACTAGCAATAAAAGGAAGGGAAAAGAACCGCTATGGCGGTCCAGAAGAGAGTATAGCCATGGTGGACTAATTTGAGTGGGGAAAGCTTCACAGAAAGGTGGTCCCTGAGGACGGGTCTTGTCAGGTAATTAAGATCTGCACAGGCAAAAGAGGAGGGAGAAGAAAGTTCCAGACAAAAGAAACAGTATGAGTAAAAGTCAAGAATCAATAACACACAAGGCATATTGGGGACCATAACATTTCTTAAAATCAAAAAAATGGCTACATTTGGGAATAGCAATCTAGAGTCTCATACCCATAGTTCACACAAATGAAGACAATCCCTACACACAAACTATACTGCTAATAGGATGAATTAACATGCAGAACAAAGACTTTATTTTTTCATTTGAGAAAAAGAACTCCAAATTTAACAGAAATGAGGAACATGTTATAGTAGCACTTAGGAAAAATTCCACTGAAAAACCAAGTGAAACCTCCAACACTGTAATAAGCAGCAAAAATTTTAATTATATGTATAATTACGCGAAATACTGTGAAAACCAGTCACCATAAAAAAGACAGCACTAACTGAAAGAATTTATGTCAAATGCCAAGTCTCTCACAGGATATTTAATCAACCTCATAAAATCATAGAATCCTGGAGCTGGAACCGACCTCAAAGCTCACTCAATCTGACCCCGAGCCGAAGGCACATATCCACTATACAACAAACCTGACAAGTGGTTATTCAGCCTCTGTTTAAATATCCTCAGTTACTCCTCTTCTTAACTTATTGGTGTAACATACCTCTGTTACTGACTTAGAAACCAGTAAGACCATAAGTGGCACCAGCTCTTTGGTGTATTTATAACATTGGAAAGGTCAACAGGTCTGCAGATCCCATAGGGTTTTCCATTATTCTTAATAGAATGTATTACCTTCTGTTCTTCTCACAGAGCTTCTCAATTTCAGCTTTCAGGTCCTGCTCCTTCTGAAGAAACTCCTTCTTTTCCTTCTCTATCTTCTTCTTTGTTTCCTGTCGCTTGATGGTCACATCCTGGATGGCCTTTAATATCTCCTAAGGTTTTAACAATCATACAATACAGGAGGTAACTTTTTGACGTTTGGCTCAAAGGTTATCTCCACTCAACACAAATATGTGAGAGAAGAGAGCAGCCAGAAAGAACACTCCAAAAAGGTTTTAAGTGTTTTGCTAAGGTATCTATACTTCTCCTCATTTCCACTGAGAGAAAAATAAAAGCAAAGTCTGATCAGAGGCTAAAACAAGCCTACATGCTGGAATACCTGATGACTCTTCATCTCTTCTTCTCTGCGCTGCTGTAATTGCTTTAGCTGCACCTGAAGTTGATTCTCCACCTGCCTCTGCTTGTCCAATACTTCCTGGTACCGCTCCTTCAGCAGTGTCCTTTCTGTCATCATTTTATCCTGGCAGTGACCATAGGAGGAAAGGTGGTGGGGTTTTATATTATTTATTCACCAAATGAGGAAAGCTGACTTTCCAAAAGAGAAGACAAAATGTGCAACACCAAAGAACAAATAGCCTCAATTCAACTCTACAAGCATCTACTGAATGCCTACTATGTACTGAGCAAATACACTAAATGCTGAGGGCACAAAAACAAAAAACAATAGTTCCTGCCCTCAGGGAGCTTACATTCTAACCAAATATATCCCCTGAGAAGGAAGACTGGAGAGCCCTTCTGAGAACCACCAGGAAAGGGACAAAGAACTTGGGAATGATTCCTTTCTGTACTCCATTCTGTTGGATTGTCTAGAAAACTTTTCACAAAAGGAAAAATATACTCAATGAATGGTTAGGCATCCAAGTCTCTAAGAGTCCATGGCTCAGCTCTGCCAGTGCCTTCATGTCTCACCTCAACTTTTCTACCTTTATCAGCAAATCAAGGACAGCATTACTCACCTTTCAAGGAGGTTCTCCAGCTTTACTAAAGAGGTTCAAATTAATGGTTTCTGAAAACACTTGGTATAGGGTCACCACATAAAATTTAGACTCAAACTGCATTAACAATACATACTCAAACTGAGCTTGTTTGTTATGAAAGGAAAAGAACATAAGGCATGTTTAAAAGCTCTACGGGTGAAAGTGACTCATTAACAAAGCAAAAACAGCCTCTCCGAGAAAACATAACAGGCCAAGCTAATTATCTTGGGCTGAGGGATGAAATGGAACCAGGGTATCTCCAAACATGCAGGAATTCTACCTCTGGTAACTCTACTACCACCACCCAAGGAATCAAAAGTTTCTCTTCTTTAGGCTTTCCTTTTTACTTCTTTCTAGCTCACCTATCTCCATGGTTAGTCTTCAGCACAACAAAATCAGTTAGGGTGAAAGAAGCTATTTCACATAAATGTTATCACAGACAACTAAGTTACAGATAACAATAACTTACATTTATATCATAACTGAGGAATCACTTTCTGCACAACCACCACATGGACACAACCTCAGAACTAATCTGCCTTACCTTGCCATCACCTTGTGATAAGACCACATTTAACTGCCAGGTTGAACAGTTTACTCCTTTACCTTGCACCTTGACATCCTTTCTTGTCAAGCTCCACATCCACCCGAGTTTCAAGTTGAATCTATCCTTTTTTAATGCAATCAAACTCCCTAACACATCACCAAGCACTGCTTTATGATAAAAGTTCCTCTTCTCCAAGTTTTTTTTTTTCATCTAGCTAGGCAAATTCTCTACAGTGACTGTTTCCCATTTTCAAAACTTTCTACTACTTTTTCTAGTTAGCTCATGTCCTTGTTTCCATCTGCCCTCATAGCCAATTTCAACTTGCAAAAATCATTCCACTTTCTCATCCCAAACTACTTGCTTTTAGTCTTTGTGCCTGATCCCTACTTAGTTCACACATCTTGACCTAGAGGTTCTCTCTCTGGCCCCAAGATGGCCCCAAGATGTCCGAATTAATAGCCTTCTTTCATTACAACAAAGATACACTCAAATGAACGTATATTTGAGGGTTGGGGTTTTTGCCAAGCTCATAGCAACGTGATCACTAATGAAATATAGTACAAATGAATGCAATCTTTTTTCTAGTTTCAAAAAATCTATTACAAAAGCACAGGATGGAGACAACAGAAACTTAGGTGAAAAAAGACTGAAGAATTTCATGACTATAAACTCAATACAAACTAGGTCACATGGCTGGCATATGGCTATGTACTTAGCCTACATTACCAGAAGAATAATGCCCCAAACAAGATAGTATTTCCACTGCAGTCTACAATGATTAACCCACAACCAGAATGCCAGATTTCATTCTGGGCACCACATTTAAAGACTATGGTATACTAGAATGTATGCAGAGAAGGCCAATCAAATCATTTCTACATAGCTGTTTTCATATATTTCAAAGGCTACCATGTGGACAAGGAATTAGAATTCTGTTTAATACTAATAAAAGCTAACATTTATGTAGAACTTTGAGGCTGATGAGATACTTTGATCCTCACAATAACACTATGAGATTGGTGCTATTTTTATCTTCATTTTACAGATAAGGAAACTGGCACTGACAGAGAGATTAAGTGACTTGCCCAGGGTCACACAGCTAATAAGTATCTGAGGATTTGAACTAAGTTCTTCCTGATTCCAAGTCCAACATACTATCCTTCTGCCACTCAGCTGTCTCAAAAGTACTAGGCGAAAGGTACACACTGAAAATTCTCATCAAAACATAAGAAAAATCTTTTTAAAAATCCGAGCTGTTCAAAAGTAAAAGGGGCAGATATGTGAGATAGTTAACTTCCTACCAATGGAAACACTCAAGCAAAGAGACTGGATGACTACCTGTCAGAGATAATATAGAAGGAATTCCTGATCTAGATGAAAGGCTACACTAGAAGCTCTTAAAGGACCTTTCTAACTCTCTAAGATTCCATGACTGCTGATCAGCGAGCTTCATGATCACCATGCAAATACCTACCAAATTCTTTTCAATATCCTGATCTGTATTCACCTCCAAATCAGCAGTCTTGAAGTCAGTCTGCAAAGGGAAAAGTAATGACATTCAGAGCCGTTTGGAGACACTTCAAAGTAGTAAAACTGCTCCAAGACTGATATTCTTCCCTCCGTCACAGAGTGCCCCTGACACCCCTAAGGAGCCAACCCTTTGCTATTCCTTCTGTCAGTTATGGAGTAAGGGAGACAAAGTGGATACTGTAATAAACAATCATCCTTGAAAACAGCCTCAGCAAAGACCCAGCAATAGACTGAAAGATGAGTCTAAAAGCTGGAGATGATAACTGGGTTCACTAAAATCTATTCTGTCTATCACTAGACTGCTTCCTCCTCTGATAAAGCACTCTAGTTCCTAGAAGAACTAACACCACCAGGCAAGGCGCACTGTACTTCCTAAGATGTAGGTACAGATAAATAAGGATCTTTAGCACAAGGATAAACTGAGCAAATCTGCATCCTAAATGAGCAATGCTTACTAGGAGGGACGTAAAACTCCATACATGTCCATTAAACAGTGTGAAGAACTAATTCTAGGGCATAAAGTTGCTAATTACATCAATCTAAACACTGTTTACTTAACAAAAGGATGGAGCTATATAGAAGTAATGCTAGACATCTCTGGAACAGCAACCCACAAAGAATGCCACAGTACGTTTTCCATCAGGTTATGAGAAATTGTATCCCACCCTCAACAACATCCCCAAGTTCTGGTTTTGACATTTGAAACCTGACACTTGACCTGCACAGCAATGTTCTGAGAGAGCTTCAAGGATGAGCCATCCTGATCCACATCCTGACCAGCTCTGTCTCCTGAAACCCCATTCTCCCCATTTGGTGGAGGTGGATAATCCAGGCCTGTATCTTCGCTACCTTCCAGGGCGACAGAAGCTTGCAATTCCTCTTCTGAACAATGATTCACATGGCACTCTGCCTCATGAGGCAGAGAAGGTGGTTGCAGGTTATCCCCAGACTGTGTGTGTTCCTCTTCTCTTGCTACAATGGTCAACTCTTCCACATCAGATTGACAAGTGTCAGTCCCCAGGGACAAAGTCTGAATGTCTATGGAACCATTTCCAGGAAGATCAAGAGCTGTGGATTCTAAGTCGCATCCTAAAGTCGAATGGTCCTCTGTGCTTGGTAACATGTCACCTGCTGATGAACCAGGACTCGTTTTTGCATGTTCCAAACTAACATCTCTGCTATTCTCCTTGGTTATCACTTGGTCGCTAGATCCTATCAACAGAGACAAGCTCTTGTTTTCCTGCACAGATGTATCTCTTGGGCTGTTGAAAATACAAGTTAAAATTACTGTAGCTCCCCATAATTTTCTCTCATCACAATCTTGAAAAAGAATCTAATTTTAAATTCAATCCCATTAGCCCCATGCTACTACAGAGATTATTTTATTTATAATAGGAACTCAATAATCAGGAAATCCAGGTAGTTACATATTCTACTTTATAATGTGTTTCCATAGGTGAAATAAGATCTATTAACTTCATCTAATAATGAATTCATTCAACAAGCTGTAACTAACTATAATAAACACTATGAGAAAGACAGGAACTGTGGAAAAGGGATTATGGTTGACCTGAAAGGGCAGAACTAGGACCACCAGATAGAGATTATATGGAGGCTGATTTCAAGTCAGTTAACAATTAGAATTGTCTAAAAACGGAATGAGCGGGATATATGACAGGAGGTCTTCAAGTGGAGACTGAATGACCACTTGTTGAGGATGTTGTAGATGCGAATAATGACTTGGATAGAGGTTGGAACTAGATGATCTTTTCCATCCTCCAGCTCTGTAATTCTATGATTCTATTGCAAGCAGAAGAAGACGTCACTATCCACATGGAACTTAAGTTGAGACAACAAAACCTATACAATACATGAAACACTAAGAGAATATTAACAAAACAATAACATGAACTGGTATAAGCTAATAAACAGTATGATGTTTTTTACAGGTTAGGAAAATGCAAAGTTAAACCAGAGTGGGGCTAATGAGAGGTTTCCTGGAGGAGATGAATTAGCAGGAGGAATAAGATCAAAAGAAACTAAAAGAGGAAAATTCTTTCATTTCAGATTCAGTTTGACCATCTCACAAAGTATATGAATCTGTCCATTAAGACCAAGAATAGTCATCAGAAGAAAGAGCATTAAACCTTCCCAAGAATTCAGCAAACATTTTTAAGCACCCATTTGCAACTTTTCAACAACTACCCACACGATTACCTGAGACCATCAGGGAGACCTTCCTCTGTGTTAGAACCACAGGAGGCAGAAGCAGCTTCTTGAGAAGCGAGAGCAGAGGCCGAATCCCTGCTGAGCTCGGAAGCCATCGTGCTCTCTGCATTCAGAAACAAATCCCAGGCTGCAAGTATCAAAGCATTGAAACAAATTCATCTCTCCCGTTCAAAATGTTCACAAGTTAGAAATATCCCAGAGAAACAGGGGGAAAGAAGGGTTAATTCTAAAAGGCACTTCTATTTCAGAATATTATTAGTTACCAGATCAATTCCAGTGAATACCTAATCTTCAGTAGTTGTCATATTTATATCAAAAATATTGGTACTCTATACAGTAATTTTGCCAAACACATGTAAAAATGCATTATTAATTTAAACCAATGGCTCTCAAAGTATAGTCCCAGAGAACTACCCTCTCCTCTGTAGTCTACTGGATCAATTCTTTGTATTCAATATTATTAATAACTAAAATCCATTATTTTTCAATCTGAATTGAAATTAAATACTTATACATATATGTATCTTTATGTGCACATATATACTGTATAGTATTTACAAATAAAAATCATAGGTCTACATATGTATACATATACACATCACATTACATATAGTTTACAAGCATATATTATATATACATACCCATGCATATGTAAAAGATATGACAGTTACATGTGTCATATGGATGTGTAAATATGTAAGCATGATTACTTTATCTTATCAAAAATGTTTCCATCTCTCAATTAATTTCAGGGAGGTGTTTTTGTTTTGGGGGGATTTTTTTTTTTTTTTTTGCAATTTCAAATAGCATGGAGTAGTATTAGAGACACTTAAGATTCTCGAATTACCACAACATATCAGAGGCTACTGTAGCATGAAAATAATAAAGGAAATAAACATTTATATAGCACCTACTATGTATCAGGCACTGGTGCTAAGCACTTTTAACAAATAACTCAAATGAGAAAGCAAGTAACAACACCTCCAAAGAGATGTGTGGGAATCACAGGCAAGAAAAGCATCTATCTAGCTCTTCCTTTATCCCACAGATTCAGTTACCTCTGAGACAACAAATAAGGAAATAATATAATTTTAGGGACAAGTAAGTTTTTGTTTTGTTTTGACAAAGGCATTTGGGCCTCCCTGGTTACTGATGAGAAAGGCTTATAAGCATAACTCTAAGGGTTAGAGATCTATGTTCTACTCTCATTTGTCACTGATTTGCTCTGGGATGCTCTATGCCTCAGCTTCCCTTACTATACAAGTGAGAGTATCATCTGTTCCCAAGGGAGCACTTCTTTGAGCTCCTGGCCAAAAGCCAAAGGATAACTCACCAGGATTAAGATTATCGCTAGAAAAGAGACAGAGCATCCACATACAAAAGAGTTTGGGGTGAGGTAAACCTGAGGACCCCCTCAGTTGGTCCAGGAAGACACAGAACCCAAGTAAAACAAACTGGGAGAGTGGAAAGGGAGAGGGAGGGGGAGGTGACCTACAAGCACTTGGGGCAGGAGGGTGCAGCACCTGGGGACCGGGTATGGGGCATGGGGCAGGTTTGCATGCCCCGCCCCTCCCCACCCTTTGGAATGTGTCCCCAAGGGGAGAGGCTGCAGGAGGTGGGGTGCACAGGGAAGGAGACAAAGGAAGGTGATGGAACACTGCAAGCACAGCCCCAAGGCTAAAGCGAGTCTGCCCACCCAGCTCCCCCCATTCACGTCCCGTCCCCCCCACCCACTGTCCACTGCCCACGACGTGCAAAGCGCCCCACCACAGTCCCGGGCCAGGCCCTCCCCCGGAGCGTCCATCCCGGTCCAGGCCCCCACCGCCCAGGTTCGGCCTCCTCCCGGCCCCCCGGGCTAGGCCCCCTCCGGCCCCGTCACAACCCCTCCCGCCCCACCCGAGCGCCCCCTCCCCACCGCGCGCCCTCCCCCCAGCCCCGCTTCCCACCGCGCGCTGTCTCCCAGAGCCGGCCGCGCGGCCACGGGGACGGGGCGGGGTTGGCGAGGGGGAAACGGGAGAAGGTCTGGGGTCTGGGGCTGGGGGCCAGGGACGCACCTGAGCGGGTGGAGCGCGCGGCCGGGGGGAGGGGGGGAGGGGGGGTCCCGACGAAGGGGGAGGGGGAGGGGTTGGGAGCCGGGCCGCGCGCGGCACCTCCCACTTCCGGCGGCAGGGAGCGGAGGGGGCGAGACCCCAGGAGGAGAGGGGAGAAGAGAGGCCCGCCGTCTAGAAGAGAGCGCCGCGCCTCCCCCGACGGCGCCCCCTGCCGGTCACAGCCGGGAGCCTAGCAAGCGAACTAGGAGTACCTGAACCCTACGGAGTCTGGAGAGGGGACGTCCCCATGCTTGGAATTAAGATAATCCTTTTTACAAGAGGCGCCAAGACGGCGGGGAAAAGGGGAGAAGAGGAGGAAATAATATTTTTATATGGCGCCCACTATGGCCATGCACTGCGCTAAGCACTTTTTTTTAATAAATATTCTCTCACTTGATAATGAGATAATTTCTTCTTAAAAAACAAAAAAGGAAGAGACATTCTAATAAAGGAAGGACTCTTAGGAGTCCCCAAGAAAACAGCGGAACTTTGTCCATGCCTGCTAAAACTGAAGAAAGAAACACCAACCCCTCCCCCGCCACCGCTCACGCCTGCCCAGCCTCTTCCTCCCCCGCCCCCTCCCACAGGATCGATGTGTGATTGGCTGCTCCTCCATAGCCGGAAGTGACGATATTGTCACCAGCTGCCCCAGCTCTGTGGAAGCTTGGAGTTTCCGCGGCACCCTGAGGCCGCTGCTGGTCAGGTACAGCGGGGGAGTGGAAGGTGGGGGGTGTAGGTGAGAAGGGCTTGGGACAGCCGAGGCGCCGGGGGAAGGAGACGAGTAGGGACCTCTGGGGGGGGGCGAGGTGACTGGACCCCCGAGGACTCGAAGTTCCTAAGGTTGGAGGTGCGAGAAGTGACTGAGCGTGGGACAAACCGCGTGGGTAGGGGGCGGGGGCGGAGGCACGCGCGCGCTCTGCGGGGGGGGGGGGCCAGGAGCACTCACCGGTGCTCCCCCAGCGGTAGAGGCAGGGGCACTGGAGCCCGGATCCCTGGACCCTGTCCTTGTTTGAGTGCAGTTGTTTCCTCTTCTCCCTTAGCCTCTAAGGGTGAGGCCTGACGGCCTGAAGGAGGAAGTGAAGTGGGTTGGGATCTGTTTGCAGAAGTCCAGAAAGCTGGTGCTCTGACCATGAACCCCGTCGACCTCTCCCACGTGACCTCAGGGCTAAATTTTTGCTTTAAACTCAACAGACATTGGTTAAACACCTAGTGTGTTGAGGTGACTGGAGAAAACCAAACAAAACAGCTCCTGGTTTCAAAGAACCCAACATCGTGCAATCTGTACACAAATAATTATAAACCCCCCCCCCCCCCCCCCCCCCCCCCCGCCTTTGAGCTGTTTCTCTTCTAAGACGCTTCAGATCTTTTGAGTTCCCAGTTCTGTTGGAGAAGCCTAATGGGATCTAGTCCTGCTTCGGCTCGCCTCACTACCTATCCCATAATAGCTTAATAGCCAATCATGTGCCTTTCTTGTGCCAGCTGTTCTTGTACCTGAGTTGAATTTCTTACTCAGTTGTGTAGCTCTTTCCCCCATCTTACCTGGGACAGGGGTCTCTCTGATTGGTGAGCTTTCACTTTATCTTATTAGGAACCAATCCTCCACATCACTTCCCAGCCAGCTCTCCTTGATGTAAGTTCCTTGAAGAAAGGGACTGTGTTGGTTGCTTGTATTTGCATTCCCACATTTAACACATTTAGTAAGCACTTTAGTAGATGCTTTATCCATGTAGCTCTACCCTATGTCCACTTGTCAGTCAATCGGTGAGCATTTATTAAGTGCCAGCTATGTTCCAGGTACTGTGCTAAAGCCTGGGGATACAAAGAAAGGCAAAAGACAGTCTCTACTCTCAAGGAACTCACAATCTAATGGGGAAGACAACACATAAAAAGCTGAAAAGGTAGGGGGAAGGTGCCAGAGAGAGGACAGAATGAAGTCCTAAGGCCACGTGGCCACTATTCTTTTGGCACCTCTGCAGACTAAAGTGTTCCATTCAGGAACACCCAAACCAGTTAGGCATTTCTTCATGAGCTATTGGCAGTGATCTTTAAAAAATTATAGAAAAGTAGAGGAATCTTGAAGGATACAGAAGATGAGATGAGCTAACGTCATCTCCATTTTCTTTTTTTGGGGGGGGGCCCCCTAAGCAATGGGATTAAGTGACTTGCCCAGGGTCACACAGCTAGTAAGTGTCAAGTGTGTAAGGCCAGATTTGAATTCAGGTCCCCCTGACTCCAGGGCCGGTGCTCTATCCACTTCGCCACCCAACTGCCCCTGTTATCTCCATTTTCAAAAAACGGAAGAGAGTAGTCTTTAGTCTAGAGGCTGGTGAGCTTGCTTTTGATTTCTTATAAAATTCTAGAACACATTAAAGAGGGGATTTGTGACCATTTGCAAAGGGAAGTGGCTATCACTAAGAGTTATCATCACTTCACCAAAAACAAATCATAACACGTTAATTTCACTTCCTTTTTTGATAGGGTTACTAGATAGGTACGTTAAGAGAATGGTATAAATATAGTATGCTTGGATTTCAGCAAAGTCTCATGCTCACCTTGTAGAACAAGATAGAGAAATATGGCTAAATACTTGTTTAGGTGGATTTAGGACTGGTTGAATGACTCCAGCTAAAATGCCATTACTATCTCAGAATCTACTTGGAGGGAGATATCTCAGGGAGTGCTGCAGGTGTCTGACCTTGGCACAATACTGTTTAACATTTTTAGCAATGACTTGGATGAAGATGCATGTCACATTTCTCAGATTTGCAGATGATATGACTATCAAGGATAGTTAACATAGGAGGGCAGAGTTATCCAAAGTTATCCAAAAAAAGGACTAGATAGGGTACAGCAATGGCTTGTTTCTATGATGAAGAATTTTAATTGTGTTAAATGTAAAGTGGTACACTTGAGTTCAAAGAATTAAAAATACAAGGAGAGGATGAGAGAGGTGTCCCTCTGAACAGTTCTTCATATGAAAAGGGTTGAGAGGTTTTAGTGGACCTAGAGTTCAATATGAAGCAACCGTGTTACATACTCATTACTTCTTTGCTACTTTGATGTTATATGATAGCCAAAAAAGCCAGTGCTATTCTAGGTTGCATTAAAAGAGGCCTGGAGTAGTGACAGTCCCCCATTCTCTGCCTTGGTCAGACCACATTTTGAGTACGGCGTGTAGTTCTCGGAACTACCTTTTAGGAAAGATATTGACAAGCTAGAGTGTGTTCAGAAAAGGATGACTGAAAGGAGCTGGATAGTTAGGGGACTGAAGATCTTACTACATGAAGATCAGTTGAAGAAAGTGGATATATTAGGCTGAAGATTAGAAAAACTGAGGCATGGTAACTATCCTTGAATATTACAAAGATCTGTCATGTGGAAGAAAAATTAGGCTTGTTGTGCTTGCCACCAACGCCCATACCAAGTGCAGATCTAAGAGCAAAGGTGGAAACTGCAAAAATAGCAGATTTCATTTAAGATAAGGGGGGAAAATTTCCTAATATTTAAAGCTGGCCAAACACGGAATGAACTGCCTAGGGTAGTGCTAAGTTCCCTTTCTTATGAAATCTTCAAGGAGAGAATGGGTGACATCTTGTCAGAAATACTGTAGTGAGGATTCTTTTCGGGTAGGGTTTGACTAAACAGTTCTTACCCTTCTAATTCTCAGATTCTTTCACTAAATGTGTGGTGAAGCACTGGTACCACTGGCTTTTTGCCAGATTGGGAAGAGGTTAAGGAAACCTTGGCAAAACCTTCCCCAGGGCCTTTCTGTTGGCTCTAAGGAAGAAGTATGTTATGGTGATCAGTATAACGAACAGGACTTTCGAGTTGTGATCCTGGCCTGGCCTTATGGTGCCAGTTGCTTCTCCAATCTGAGTTTCATCTTAGCTCCCTGGAAATGAGACCAGTCAGCAGCTTTGAAAATGACTCTAGTGGAGAATTAAGTCGAATCTATAAGAATACGAGTCATTCCCCAATTGATAAGTGGTCAAAGGATATGAACAGGCAGTTCTCAGATGAAGAAATTAAAGGCATCTATAGTGATATGAAAAAATGCTCTAAGTTACTATTGATTAGAAAAATGCAAATCAAAACAGCTCTGAGGTATCACATCACAACTATCAGATTGGCCAACATGACAAAACAGAAAAATGATAAATATTGGAGAAGATGTGGAAAAATTGGAGCACTAATGCATTGTTGGTGGAGTTGCGAAATGATCCAACCATTTTGGAGAGCAGTCTGAAACTATGCCCAAAGGGCTATAAAAATGTACATACCCTTTGACCCAGCAATAGCACTTCTAGGGCTATATCCTAGAGAGATCATACAAATGGGAAAAGGAACTACATGTACAAAAATATAGCAGCTCTTTTTGTGGTGGCAAAGAATTGGAAATTGAGAGGATGCCCATCAATTGGGGAATGGCTGAACAAGTTGTAGTATATGAATGTAATGGAATACTATTCTGCTATAACAAATGATGAACAGGCTGACTTCAGAAAAACCTGGAAAGACTTGTATGGTCTCATACTGAGTGAAATGAGCAAAACCAGGAGAACATTGTACACAGTAACAGCCCACGTTGTGCGATGACTAATATTGATAAACTTAACCCTTCTCAGAAGTGGAAGGATCTAAGATATCTCCAAAGGCCTCATGTTGGAAAATGCTATCCACAGCCAAAGAAAGAACTATGGAGTTTGAATGCAGATCGAATCATACTATTTGCTTTTTTTTTTCTTCTATTGTGTTTTGTTTCCTCTTTCTGGTGGTTCCTCCTATTGGTTCTAGTTCTTACTTGTAACATCACTAATGTGAAAATGTTTAATAGGAATATATATGTAAAGCCTATATCAGATTGTACACCATCATGGGGAGGGAGAGGGAGAAAAATTTAAAACTCATAAGCTTATGGAAGTGATTGTTGATCATTCAAAATAAATTAATTAAAAATGAAAAAAAAAGAAAAGAAAATGACTTTAGTACTTCTTGCTTACCTCTGCTTATCTCCACCTCTAGG